GATAGTTTTAACACTATATATTTAAAGCCCTACCATTGATAAATAGTTTTAACACTATAAAACTCTTAATGAAGTTCAGTATTTGGTACAAGTCTTTCTAAAAGTAACGAAGATACTGACATAATTTCAGACGTGAAATGCGAGGTGGTACCACCTAAATAGAGTGTAACGCCCCAAAACAAATGCTTGAAATTCGAATTCAACTTGGGATTTTATGAATTCAATCGCTTCAGGTGGAGAATGCTCTATCTTGGAAGCTGAACTTAGAGCGATAGAAACAGGATTGCAATTGTGCACGACACGTGGAATTAGGAAAGTCTGGATAGAGACTGATTCAAAGGCGGCACTTACCTTGATTAAACAAAACAATGGTCCATGGGGAGTTCAATATATCTTGCAATCCATTAGATGGCATCTGGAGAAAATGAAGAATAAAATTACTCACACTTGGAGGAAAGGTAACCAAGCAGCCGACTGGTTTGCATCCAAAGGTCACAGAGAAAGGAAGTATAAATGGTTAGAAGCTAGCGAATTCAAGGGTAGAATCAAAGGAATTGTGATACTTGATAAAATTGGTTTGGAGATTATCAGATTAGTTCCTAATTAGACCTTGCACATTGTTTCTAGATTAGTTTCTTCAGTTGACATTGCATTTTAAGTCCAGATCAGCTCAGTGTAGGTATTGTAATTCATCAGTATCTTTGTAGAAGTATTGTTGTAATTTTTTTTTGAGGTAAGGTACATTAGTCCCCCTCCTTGCATTGTATTTGAATTTTCATTAATAAAATCATATCCTACTGCTTGGATTTTCAAGCTAGGATATTTTACCAAAAAAAAAAAATGCTTGAAATTCGAAGCATTACACGAAAAATCTTTTTAGTTGGGGGTCTCTAGTGTTAACCAAAATAAATTGTAACTAAGAAAATTTTCGGATTTTAAAATATAAAAGAATAACAATGAGAGATATGTGTCCACATAGACTTAGATCATTATGGTGATATTTGATTTTGGAAAACATCTTGAGAAAATTCAGCGAATATCGGTTGCACAGCAGCGGAAAGAAAACTATGTTTGGCTTAGCAAATGTCGACTCAAAATTAAGAAATTTTAACAGAGACTATGAAATTCATATACATACATCATATAAAAAATTGGGGTCTCGACGATAATTTTTGAAGCATGAAAATATTTTTCAACTATGCTGGACAAAAATTTCAAAACTATACCGACTCAGTTTACTAAAACGGATATAACTTTTCTCCATGTAATATTTTAAGATTAAAAGACTCATAATTCTTTCAAACCCCACTGATTTCACTCTAAAATATGCACTACAGCCAAAGTTATATCATTTTTAAGAAGGAGAACAGAATCTAAAATTCAATCCAGCAATAAATAAACTCCATGAGTAATCATTCCAACGTTTCTAAATTATAGTCGACATGCAATATATATAAAACTAGGCGAAGTAGAAAGTTAAACATATTAAAAGTGTTGTCTAAGTATTCATAAAAAAATTTACACAAATGGAAATTTTATTAGAAAGTTAAAAGCATTTCAATCGTCGAGCACTTGCCACCATGCCAAACCACTGTCATGCCTTCAATTAACCTGTAAATTTTGTAAGAGTGAGTACCACAAGTAATACTCAGTAGGAAACACTTAAGTAAATGGTAAAAACTATATATTTTCAGAAATACAACTTTGGTTATTTGTGCCACCGTCAATTATGCAAGGCGAACTGGTGATCAATTAGTCCATTTACTTTCGGGTTTTAATAACCCCCTTTCATGTGTCATAAATCCTTTATTTATCTCTTATTTTAAACATCAAAGGGTGCTTCCATTCTCTCATGAGTAATACAATAACACATTAAATGCAAATAGAAAACAAGTAATTTTTACTTCACTTACAAAATTATCGAAACACCCCTACCTTAAACACTTGGAATTTGAATATCCTCTTGCGTTCAATATATAATAAAATCCAGCATTCTCTTTACTTCTTCTTTAGAAAGAAATTTTAGATTCAAAGTGCTTTAGTCAATGGGAAGAAAAGTAAAATAATTTATGTGTGGGTATAATAGTTTGGGAAAGGAAATGTGGCCTTAGAAGTTATAGGAGATTATTGTTTTTCAAATGCAAAAATGATTAGGGTGTGTTTGATAGCCTAGA